TCAGAGTCTTTTGGATTTTAGCCATCCTAACTGGGGTGAGATGGTATCTTGGTGTGGTTTTGATTTGCATTTCCCAGATGCTGAGTGATGGTCAGCATTTTTTCGTATGTCTGTTGTATATCTTCCTTAGAGAAATGCCTACTTAGCTCTTTTGCCCATTTTTTAAATTGGGTTCTTGTTTTTTTCTTGTAAAGTTGTTTGAGTTCCTTGTATATTCTGGATATTAATCCTTTGTCAGAAGTATATTTTGCAAATATTTTCTCCCACTCTGTTGGGGAACTGCAAATTTTATCCGTGGAATTGGAAGTTACTTGTCAAAATAACCCGTGTGAGAAAAAAAAAAAAAAATGCAGGCCCAATCCTGAAGCTCTAAGGCTGTAGTCTGAAGGGTGGGCAATGGTGGTCTCTCCGCCCAGGGGCCTGTCCCTCCCGGTAGGGCTGGGGCGTCTTTCTCAGGGCTGAGGAGAAGAGGGTCTCAGTGCCAGGGCTGGCTGTATGCTCTGGGAGAGAGGGGAAGTGGGGTAGGGTGCAAAGACAAGGTTTGAGGCCTGCTTTCTCCAGAACTGAGTGAAGAGCTGTTCCGCCCGGCCTCCAGAGCCAGTCTCAAGGGACAACCTTGCCACGCCACTGAGGCGGACCTATAGGCAGCTGACCGTGTGCGCATGCGCGACCCTGAGCCTGCGTTTCCCGCCTCTTCCCAGGCACGCGCCGCTCATTCTACTTCAGCTCCTCTCTACGGACGGGCCCCGCGGTCTGAAGCTAGTGCACAGGCGTCGAGCACTCTTTTCCCTCCTCCCTTCCATTCTTGGGAGAGTTGCGGGGAGAGGGCAGAGGGAGAAAAGAACCCCGAGAAAGAAAGCAATAGAACTAGGGAGACGAGAGGGAGAGGGGGCGGGGAGTGAGGCGGGGCTTCCTCCTCCAACAGCTCTCAGGCACAGCCACGCCTCCAGTACTGACGCCCCGCCCCGGCTTTGAGGCCCGCCCCCCTCCCCCCGGTCCCCAGGTCTCAGCGGCGCCCTGCTCTCCGCCTCCGGCGGGCGGGCCAGGCCGCGTTCTATGGGATCCTTCCGTGGGAAGGTGAGTGGGATGGCGAGGCTAAACACCAGCACGTGAGAAGGTCGGAGCTTCCCTATTGGGATGACCTCCGTGGGGCACCCCACTAGTTCTGCCCGAAGGACGCTGTTCGCCGCCTCCGGGGCTGCACTTTGGTTGGCCGCGGGCCCTTTAATGCGTGCGAGAGGGCGGAGCCAGGGCTTAAGCCCTAGCGACTGGGGCCGGGGCCGGCCGTGGTGTGTAGCTAGGATAGGGCCTCGGGGCGGGGCCTGGCGGCTGGAACTGCCCAACG